TAGAGAGACCTAGGGATTCCAAGGCTTGCTAGGCTAGAATTGAGGGGATGTCCTCTGTCAACCTTGAACCAATAACTTTGGCCTGATTTTGAAGTCTGAACCTTTAAATTAGAAGATATATTATCCCTTGTACTTTAATGTGGTCAAGACACTAGTTCTGGTAAAGTATGTAGCCCCCTACAATACTAATTGGGATAACACAGGGCAGCTGCCAAGGGACAGAGTAAAGCCTAAGGCAGCTGCCCTGAAAAAATGGCTTGGGCAGGATGCCCAAATTTGACCCCTCTTAGGGCATTATTTTTTATCTGGATTATACCCTAAGAAGGTTACTTAGGGTGGCTGCCTGAAGTGGAGAACCAAGTCAGAGGTTTACTTCTTTTGGACCCCCCACTGCCTGAAAAGTGGATTCTCAGTCCAATGTGACATTTATCTTTGCATGACTTGGAATTCTACATCCAGGTGCATCATGGCCCATATGCCAGCAAGGACAACCAACTTGTCCACTTGGCTCTCTCTGATGGTAGACTCCAGGTTTGAATGTCTACCAAGAGAAATGACAAGAGAAGATCTAAGTATATTGAGATCACTGCAGAAGATATCTGCAACATTCCACTGAATGGAGTACGTACAAAGAAAGTCAGCCAGAGAGCAGCCAATGCAAGGGGTCTTTTCCTCATTGCTGATGCCAGCGATGTCAAACTCTATTATCACATTGGCAAACTCATTGGCAGAGTCTGCAACATTACCCATGATGACTCTGGCAATTTACTTGCTGAGGAAGGCCTCTACTTTGTTCAGAGAGTCAACCTCTACCCCATCCCAGGGTGAGTTGGGTATGAGGAGGAAGTGATGGTCGACAAAGTGCCTTTCACAATTGAGTGGTCCTCCCTCTTACTTGTACATCTTTCAGCCAACCTGAACTTGGCTGGTAATAAGAAGATGTACAAAATTCAGACAAAGTTTGAGGGATGGATGTTGGCTTGTGATGAACCAGACAGTGAGCAGAAGAGTCAGATTGCAAAACAGAGGAAGGGGGAGATTGTTATGAGTGTCAGTGGACTTGCAGAGCAAATTGAGAGAGCTTGGACAGGACACAAAAAGACTCCTCCTCTACCCATGCAGGATGGACCTGTCAATTGGGAGAATATATTGCTCTTGTAAAGTTTGACTTGGTGGCCACAGACATTCTTTATGTATTTTCTATGCTGCATGTTTACCAATGGACTAATTCTTCACTATACCCACCCTTCAATATGATACTTTTTTGCACATTAAACAACAAGTAAACTAGATATAATGATATCTCATATGCGCCACTTTGACTTGATTTGGAAGCAAAGTAAGATTTCCAACCTCTGTTTTGGGAATGTAAGAAAATAAGGTGTCCAAAATGACATTAAACTATGGCACTCAGTGCACTCAGTGCATGTAGAGTGTGCATTTTGTTCTTATAATGCAGATTTCTGGAAACCTGAAAAAGGAAAAGAAAATTAAATAAAAAAACAAGAAAAAAGCTATTGTGCATGTCAACTTTGCATGCTTGTTAACTTCTTACTGACTTAAACAGACTCAACTTCCTTTCTCTGCCTCATTCCCCCCAACCTGTCATTTCATTGTAACCATCAGATCATGGGTAACTCTTCAAAATGCAGCACTCATTCCTCAGCTAGACAAACTGCAATTGCGGCAGCCCATACAAGAGGGCAGCTGCAACAAGCCCATTCTGGTGCTCCAGCTCCCCTCAAATCTCAGGCCATGAGGGTAAAGCCAGCATCTAAGCTTGCCTCAGAGTGAGTAGCACAAAAATGGCTCTTTTTGGACTGTGTTTTGGTCTCTCCTATTGAGACCAACACTGTTAAGCTGCCCTCTATCTGTGAAACACCCACAATGCTGGAGTCTAGTACAGCAAAGCATGACTCTACCAACTCAGTTGCTCAAGCTCAAAGTATGCTACAACTTATTCATAATATCTACCAGTCACTAATACATACTAGACTATACAGATACTCTGTGGCAGACCCCACCCAAAACACAGATACAACAGACCATGTGTCTGAACTTCAGTACTCCAGTAGACTCGCTCAAAAACTCTGCCTCTTGCCTGCCTCATTCCTATTCAGATGTATCTCCCTCACAACTGTTGTTCCTCCAAAGATTTGCATCTGACAACATCCCTCCAACACCAGGACCTTCCACATTACCTCATCTACCCCCCTTCCCTATGAGATCTAGCCCCCTACCACTGTCTAGCCCTACACCAGTGGAACCTCTTCACCGCTTAGATCCCCAATCAAAAGGGAAGGTTTTTGATAACAATGACTCAGATGAGGAAGAAGACAACCTGGAGGATCTACCTTCATGGCCCACTTATTCCAGTGCGAGGGTGTCAGGAAGAAGAAGAGGTCTTCCTCCAGTACTGGAGGAGGAGGAGGCCATAGATCTGGTTTTGATGCAGATGTCTGCCAAATTGAGGGGGAAGCAGAAAGCTATAGAACTGAGCTCACCCAGAGAGTGGACCGATGAGGATGATGATGGGAAAGGGCAGGTCAATTTCAATGTTAATGGCAATGAAGAGGGGGTGAATGCAACAGTAGGACCAGGGAAGTGGCCACAAACCTCAGAAGGTTCTGATCACTATGACTCACCTTCCATTCAACCAGCATCAAATCCATCCCAAAAATCTGCCAAAGATTTCAAGGCTGGCTCAATGGAGTCACAATCTATTGCTTAGCAAGCAGATAGAGACTCTGACAACTCAGAAGACATTGAATCTCACTGGGGAAAGTTTCGGGCAGAGGATATTTGTGAGGCTCATTGTGCCGCAGAGTCTTTCAATCAAGCCCTGCAAAAGATAGCTTAAAAAGCTGGTCACTCTGAAGCTGCTCTGAGGAGAGCTATCTCACTCAATGTGAAGACTCCATGTAACTGCAATATGTGGAATATCTTTCAGCATTATGCCACAGCAGAGGATGGGTTGAAAATTCAGAAAGAAGAAGGTCAATCGATTGCCAAATTTATGACCATCCTTTACAATGCCTACCAGAGAATTCTTGACCACCCGGATGAGGAAAAGGAACCATTTCTCATGCATTTGCAAAACTACTATGACAATAAGATGGCTGACCATGTCACTGGACTTTGAGCAGAAGGTCTCTCAGAGGTGAAGCTCTTGAAGTACGCTAAAGGATTTGTGAACAGGGTATGTATCTTGTCAATTTGATCCCTTAGGTTTCTTATTTACTCTAGTTAATAGGCTCAAATGACTTACAAGATGTATCAGCTTTGTGTTTTTGGCTGGATGGTTCATCCAGTGTCAGGGAAAGCTGTTCAGTGGGGAGGTGACCCCCTTTTCAAGGGTATGAAGACCTCAAATGCCACTGCAATGAGGCTGCAGTGTGCAGACTACAGCACCATGATTCATATGCAACATATGCAGTTAGGTCAGGAGGGCATGCTTCCACCAGAAAAGCAATGTCTGATCAACACGTACTCAGAAAAGAGAGTGTGGATACAGAGTGCAGCAAAGGAGATTTTCCTTATATTACTTTGTGAGTCTCCCATTTGACTTCAGCTCAATGATACTGATTATACGCACAGGTGAATTGCATCCAGATGCTGATATCAAACAGATGCAATGGGGAGATAACTTTGCCGACTTATGCTACAGGCATCAAGTAACACTGGTCAACTGGCCAAAAGGTGTATGCATTCCCAGATTTCCAGGTGAGCAGAATGGGTTATCTGAAGTATCAAAACTTCCCCTTGATATTCTGAAACACATTGTCAAAGATCAAATTGACTTTTGGAAATTGCAATCAAAAATTCTTGCAAAGATAGCTGACCCAGTGCCTCTATATAAGGATGATAGTTCTGATAAGGCCTTGGACAAGGATACAGGCAGTGTTCCCCTTGATGAGGAGGACCTTGTCTGATTTGTGTCATGGGATGATGGTGAGGAACTGCTTTGTATTTACAAGCCTAGCTGATTCTTTTATGCTTCATATTGGTTCTTTAGAACAAAAGGCTCTACTGGTACTCCAGATGGGTAACATTGCAATAGTTTGACAGGAGCTTGAAGATTCCGACAACAATGGGCAGCCCCTCTGTTTGTTGTTGCAGTCAAAGAAATACCAAAAATGCATTGAAAATTTCAAATCCATTGCCGATTGCTCTGACAATGAGGGAGACAATGCAGATGGTGAACAGGCCCAGAAAGTGACTGACACACATAAGGACCTCACCGGGATCAACAATGAGGATGAGGACAAGGACAAGGATGAGGATGAGGATGAGGATGAGGATGAGGATGAGGATGAGGAGGGAAGCACCAACCATGTCAGGGACCCCAAATCCCAGAAGGTGGGCAAACTTTCTCACCCCAAGCTGGCCAGACAAAAGCCAAGCAGGAATGACAGAGACAAGACCCCTCATCCCAGATTCTCTTCTCAAAAGGAGGTTAGCAATGAGCAGGAGGAGCCTCGGGTGTAGAATAAGGTCAAGGGCCCCCCTATCAAACTCACAAACCAAAGAGAGGGTGATGCCCATCCCATACTGTCAAAGTCCAAATCTTTGCGGACT